TGCCCCCCCAAAGAAACCTCAACTATTGAGCAGTCTTCTCTCATACCCTTCCTCCCACAAATAACACCCATAAGCAAACACCACTCTGCTTTCCTCCCCATCTCGGGCCAATTCTGATCGACGTTGATGTGGGAACTGTGCCAGTCACAATATGTGGAGTTTGTGACTGGCTTCCTCTAGCATGAAGTTCTAAGTTCACCCACGTCATAGCCTCTCAGTGCTTCCTTCCTTCTGGCTGAGTAACGTCTCCACTGAATGGATGGACCACATTTTCGATTTGTCTAATGGTGGCCTCCTACAGCCCCTTAGCTATTGTTAACGGTGTGCTGCCGCGGAACGCCTGTGTCACGTGTATGCTGTCACTTTCTCTGTGTCTATGTCTGGAGGTAGAACTAAGGCTATATGGTGACTTTATGTGTAGTCAGTGGAGTTGCTGTGAGCAATTCTCCATACTGGCTGGGCCATGCTACATCCCAACGCTGCGTGTGTAAGAGCTCTAACTTTGCCACAATCTGCCAACACTCTCATTGTCTTTGATTCCAGCCATCATAGTGGGTGTGAGGTAGGGGATCTCATTGTGGTTTTGATGTGCACTCTCCTGATGAGGCTGGGCCTTGGGACACGGGTGACTCAGACAGACACAGCCCTTCCCCACAGAGCCTGAGTCCAGAAGGTACAGACATAACCAGGTACCTGCTAAAACAGGGTCCTGGGGTCACCATGAAGTGACCCAGCCACAATCCAGACAGGTTCGAAGGGTGCCCGAGAGAAATGTTATGAGACCTCCTTCCAGGGCTTCAGTAAAATCGGCAGAACAGGGGCACAAGTGTTGGCGGTGTTGTATCTCCAATCATCACGTCCTTAGGTTTAAAGAAGTTGACCGTGAGGAAATGGAGATATAAAGAGCTGGCTGTCTGGTGGTTGGGTGGTTATGGGCCCAGGACGGGATGCACAAGAGGCCATGTGCAGGCTGCAGCTAAGTCAAATTCAGGGTCTCTGTGATCCCACTCAGAGAAGTGACCACATTGCATAAAAAAAAAACGGAGGAAACCCCAAAGCAGGAGGCAGGTAAGCCAATGTGTGCCAGGGGCTGGAGGGGCTACAGGTGCGGTGCTGGTGACACAACGTGAGGTGGTGTTCCCGCCCCCTGCACCTGCACATGGTTATGGGGCTAAGATGATAATGGCAGGGGCGCCTGGGGGGGCTCTAGCTGAAGGTCAGACTTGATTTCAGCTCAGGTCATGATCTCACGGGTTTTAGGGTTTGGCCCCCTCAGGGTTCTCCTGTTGACAGAGGGGAGTCACAATTTCTTTTCCCTGCTCGCACTCCCCCTCTCCTCTCAAAGTAAAAATTAAAGATGGTAACGACACTGTGCATACTTGTCATAATAGTAAAAAAAGATGAGGCTCACTCTCTAGCTACCCCTCTTCCGTCTCTGACGCAATGAAAACAAAGAACCAGTCCCGCAGGGAAGCCGTCAAACTGACGAGCTACTCTGCACGGGGTCTCCTCCCTCACCCCCCCCGGGGTGGGCTGACTGCCGGGCTGAGCGGCCACCTCCCCAAGCCCTCACCTCCCTCGGGCCTCCTCCCAGGACCTGACGCCGGTACCAGGTGCCCGGCCACAGCCACGCCCCTGCCCAGGGATTCTCTTCACTTTTTTCTAGTGTCTGGGTTGTGGGGAGAGATGAATATTCATAGGTTTGGGAGTGAGCCCTCTGAAGCTCGAGTATCTTGCAGTTGCTGTTGCAGTTGGTTGCTGCTGCTGGATTTGTAGAGGTAGGTGTTTCATCTGCTACAGCTACAGTTTTCCTCTCCTTCTCTGTCTCAATTTGGACCATCATACTTCTACCTACTTGGACTACTCTGCCTCTAAATTCCCTGACTCCTAATTTGGACTACTCGTTTCCTCTTCTCTTCCCTTACGACGCAATTTGGCATTTTCGTTTCTCTACTGACTCCATTTGGATTCATTACTTGCCTTCTCTTAATGACGCATTTGACTACTTGGATTACTCCGACATGGACGCGCGGAGCCCCAAAGCCCCGGGCGGGGACGCGCTGCGGGACGCGGTGAGTGGGGCCCCCCTCCCCTCTTCCGCGTCCCTCCTCACCCTCCTCACCGTCTGGGCGCCGCACCTCCTCCCGGACTGTGCGTCCCCCACCCCCCCATGGGGCGCAAACCCTTCGTGCCACCCCCCTTCCCGCTTCCGGTTCGCCGGGAGGAGCTCCCGGAGCAGGAGCGCCAGGCTGCGGGTCAGGAAGCGACTTCAAACGCAAGTCTGTCTTCTTGAAGAGAATTTGTTAGATGTTATACATACTTGAGGCTACATTTTCTTGACAAAAGTGAAACAGAAACACCAAACCCTCCGAAGGGAAACTGCTCCCGATAAGGCCGCAGCACCTTCATACGCACGTGCGGGTTGCGCACTGATACCCGTCTCTGTATTCTCATCTCCAAAATGGGGACAGAGACAGGTGCGGGGAGGCAATTATCCCTGGTTCCGGATTTCACTTGGTAAGCCACAAGGAGGCAATATGCAAATATGGCTTGCCGTCACCAACAATACCGATACTCGCTTATGGCCTGGTCAACAAATCCTGCCCATCCCACCCCAGCTGGTAACTACCCCAGAGTGCAGGGGAGACGTGAGGCCCACGTGTGCTCTGGATGGCTGCTTCAGCTCTACTTAGGAATTCTTTGAGGGACTCAAGGTTATTAAGGCATTCTCCTATACTTTCTCTCGGACATTTGATAGTTTCAGTGCTTACATTCAGGTGTATGATGATTTGGAGTTAATTTTGGGGTATGGTGTGAAGTACCTCTGCTTATTTAGTTAGTTATGTGTTTGGCTATCTCATTGTCCCAGCACTGTTTTCAAAAGATTTTCCTTCGCCTTTGAATAGAAAGCTCTGAGCACCTTGTCCAAAATCTAACTAATTAACTAACTAACTAACTAACTAACTAACTAACTAACTATATATTTATATGGAGGTTCTATTCCATGATGCTAAAAGGCCCTACATCAAGAGTAAATACTATATTCAATTGTCTTATGGTTCATTTTTTTCAGGCAGAAAACCTATTTCAGGAACTTCAAGAACATTTTCAAGCTCTAACTGCAACTCTGAACCTCAGAAATATCCTTTCTATCTAATAACAAATACTATAATGCTTTTGAACTGTAATATTATCAAGGAATATCTTTTGTCTGCTATTATGGATAATTGTTGACCTACGATGTCCTGGTGTTTACACTGTGCCTTTCCATGATACCCTGGTGTATTAACTACCACTCACAGGTAATTACTTCCTGCTTGGCCATACGGGGCATTTTGTATGAGAGCAATACGATACAAGGACGCAATGCACAATACTACCCAGTGGGGCTTTCTGAGCCTACAGACTACTAAATCTGAGTAGTCTGCTGAATAACATCTATGCACTTCCACGGAATCAGAAACTTGCAAACATCACATGGAATGTCTTCAACCGAGGATACCATATATGGCTCTCCTGACCTTTGTTTTGTTTGGTTTTGCAACTTCAGCAGCCGTTTTAAGACATGAATTCAAACAGAATTAGAGTAAAATGTTTGTTTCCAGTTTGAGCAAATCCAGATAAGCTGTAATATCGGTCCTAAGACTTAGAGCGCTAGAGCTCACTTTACTAATTGAATTCATTCCATAGAAATTGTTTAAAAAAGGGGCGCCTGGGTGGCTCAGTCGGTTCAGCATCCGCTTGCGGCTCAGGTCATGATCTCACGTCTGTAGGTTCAAGCCCCCTGTGGGGCTCTGTGCTGACAGCTCAGAGCCTGGAGCCTGCTTCGGATTCTGTATCTCCCTCTCTCTCTCTCAAAAATAAACATTTTAAAAAATTAAAAAAGAAAAAAGAACTGAGCTTACAATTCAGAGGTTAAAGACACACTCCAAAAACCTCAGGGGAATAGTTAATTTGCACTGACCGTAAGGTATTAGTACGCGTAGTCTTTGAATCCCTCGTTTTAAGTGTTGCACTGCCAGGGCATTTTATCAATAGGCTCGATGAGTAGCTGCAATCTGAAGGATCTCTCAGGACTTTCTGGCTGGTGCTCTGTACCCTGTGTAAAATTGTCCTTAACATTGTACTGGAAGAAATGGGAAATCGCATCGAAGATTTACAGAAGAATGTGAATGACTTAATGGTGCAAGCTGGGATTGAAAATTCTATTAAAGAACAAATGGTAAGGCCATTATTAGGAAACTAAATATGTTTGTCTTTTGCATATCTTTTGATTGCTTTCATCTTGAAAAATACAATCCCGTATTTGTTCACTGTGGGGATTATTGCCTCTGTACTTCATGGAAAATCTTCAGGAATAATAAGACATTTACAAATGCTCTTTTCTATTTTTTTTTTTTTCAACGTTTATTTATTTTTGGGACAGAGAGAGACAGAGCATGAATGGGGGAGGGGCAGAGAGAGAGGGAGACACAGAATCGGAAACAGGCTCCAGGCTCTGAGCCATCAGCCCAGAGCCTGACGTGGGGCTCGAACTCACGGACCGCGAGATCGTGACCTGGCTGAAGTCGGACGCTTAACCGACTGCGCCACCCAGGCGCCCCTCAAATGCTCTTTTCTAAATAGACTAAGAGAAACACTCCTTGTCATAGTTCCTTAAAAAGTGTACAGTTTATTTAAAAAAAATTTTTTAATGTTTATCTATTCTTGAGAGATAGAGACAGAGCACAAGCAGGGGAGGGGCAAAGAAAGACACAGAACCTGAAGCAGGCTCCAGGCTCGGAGCCATCAGCACAGAGCCCAACGCAGGGCTCGAACCCACAGACTGCAAGATCATGACCTGAGCAGAAGTCGGACACCCAACTGACTGAGTCACCCAGGCGCCCCAAAAAGTGTACAGTTTAAATGACAAGCTCTACTATTTAAAAAATGGATGTTATTAAAGTGCTTTTCACAACCACCCCTCAAATTAGTCTTCTATCAAAACACAAATCATGATGAATTGGAGACTGGAGATTATAACGTAGTTTCTGTTTCAGACAATATATTTATATAACCATTTGAAGAAGACATACGGGCATTAAGCCCTCAACCCGTTTCTCAGTGGTTCATGGGCCGTCCATCCTGGCCTCCCACAATGCAAACCTTTCCAGTGGAATGTTGCATTTAATCTTGAAGATGCAAGGAAATGCTTGGCTTCAGGTCTCAGACTGGATCTGTATCCATGTGCTATATGTGGAGGTTCGCAACTTCATTAAGATACTTATGTCTATTTTATTCTGATAGATAAGAATAATAGATTATTCTCATTGAACAATTAGGTGTCTTTGTTTCCCTTGTTTTACTGTCTCTTTTATAATTATCCTAAGTCAGCTGGCAAATGATCCCCACTTAATCCTGCTAAATCAGGGCCAGTTCACCTATCAGCGACTTACAAATACCCACATCTGGTATCCTGGTAACAAAGGTAATCGTAACCTGCGTCCTGCTGCCACCATAAAACGCTGTAGAGGACGCTCTGTCTCTGAGGTGAAGACATAGCTTCAATCAGGCTCCCTCGACGGGGCCCACCAGTCCTGAGGCGGGCGAGGAGGCCCTCCCCCGCCCCCCTGCAGGGCTGACTGAGTGAGGAGAGGAGAGCCTCAGGGCAGGAAGCCCTGTGCCCAGAAGAGATCTGGCACACTGCAGGCATGGGATGGCAGCCAGGTGACCAGGTCCCTGCCCTCCATCACTCAGATCTAGCTGCTGTTTTAAATTTGGTCAAAACCACTAAATATTAGGCATCAAGTTAAATGATCAAGTAGGTGTGGAAACCTCACTACGTGATGTGCACGCAGCCTGAGAGAAGGTCAGATCTCCAAGTGTGTTTAAAAGTGGTACTGCCTTCTAAATGAAAAGACCTAAACAGACTGAGATGTTTGCACAAATCTGTACTTGTTGGTTGTGCTTGGTCGCACTAGGTCAGGGTTAACACAGGACCGGCTTGCGCTGTAAATCTCAGGGATTGTGCACACCCCTTAAACCTGTGTTCCAGTTGTGGGGAACCCAAGATGTTAAAAACTACTGTTCTATATTCCGATAGATCTGGTACTTTGTCGGTCTCCCCATTAAATGACGTTGTAACACCTTTCCCGCAATTACTTGGGCACAGATAGGCGGTGAGTGTGTGGGCGGAGTGGGTGGAGGGAGCAGGGTGCTTCCCTCTGGGGTACTGTGTGCTCAGTCGCCGCGGTGGAATACTGATGCAGGAGTCACGTTTCGGTAAGAGAACGTGCAGTTTATTCACCTGCAGTTGTGAATCCACACTGACTCCATCCGTCAAACATGAAAAATTTGTGGTTTTCTATACACTCAATTTTTCCTATCCACAAAATGTTTTAATAATTAAGGGAAATTGGGGCACTTGGGTGGCTCCGTCAGTTGAGCCCCTGACTTCGGCTCAGGTCATGATCTCACAGTTTGTTAGTTTGAGCCCCATGCGGGTCTCTGTGCTGACAGCTCAGAGCCTGGAGCCTGCTTCGGGTTCTGTGTCTCCCTCTCTCTCTGCCTCTCTCCTACTTGTGCTCTCTCTGTCTCTCTCTCTCAAAAATAAATAAACATTAAAATTTTTTTTAAAAAATTACAGGAAATTAAGGTATTTTATTGAAAGCTTTGGAGTCCAGGTTATTTAACCGTGCATTAATTGGTATATAAATCAACCATTACCTCTTTCAAATTTTTTCTTACAGACCTGAAGACTTGAAAATATGATAAAGTCAAAGTTGTACTTTTTGAATGACAATTTGCGTAGTATGTGTTCTGGTTTTTACTATTTAATTTAAAAATTCATTTTAATGAAGTGAAAGATTAAAAGAACAATGCAATAAGAACATAGTTTAGAAGGCGATTAACCACTTGACCCAGATGGTTCTAAAATGGCAGAACATGTTTCAACGCATACCTAGTATTTACAAGTCATGGGAGGGAAGCATAAGCTATATCAGGTCAGCTCTTGTTCCTGAATTAAGTTCTAGGTAGATCTTTTTAAAAAAATCATAAGCTGTTTTGTGATTGAGATTTCTTTTTCAATACCTGCATTCCAACTCAGCTTTTCCAGTCATATGGTCCTCTGTCTAGTCCAAACACATCCTGATAGCAATGTTCTCCAAACCGAACAAAACCCAGGAAAACAGCCCGCCTCGTCCCAGGTCACCCTTGCCCACTCTGCTCCTAAGGAGGTGGTCACCAAGAAGAAGCACAAAGATCACAGTTCAGCTTATTCTGTAGGTTATATGGAGACGTTTTCAAATAATTATCCAATTTGCCTCTCTGAGCCAAAGTCAAGCAGAACAGGGTCGGTAATAGGCTCTCGTTGTAAAAATACCACGATTCCTGCACATGAGATAGATTTTATTCTTCATACAAAAGTCAAAACCACCCATAATTCTACAATTTAAATTGAATTAGCCACTGTAAACATTTTTCTGTACGTACAATTCTATACACGGTTGATGATGTTGTTTATAATCTCATATCCTGTTCTCTTCATATCATAAACATTTTTCCATCTGAAAATTTCACACACTTCTTATATATATATTTTTTTATGGCTGACTACTATTCTATCATATGGATGTAATAATTTAACCATTTCCTTGACTGTTCCTTGGACATTGACGATATTTCCCACCATCTTGCTACTATAAATAATGCTGTAAGGAACACTGTTACCGTGAATTCTCTGCATGTCTCATTAGGGTCAGAAGTGTGACTGAAGACCGAGTACATTAGTCAAATGCATTTAAGAAATGAAGCATCATTTTATACTCCCAACAGTGGTGTATGTCTTTCCTTTTTTAATCCAAAGTTTTAAAATGGCATCATTTAAGTTCAGTATTCTGGGGCGCCTGGGTGGCTGTCGGTTAAGCGTCCGACTTCAGCTCAGGTCATGATCTCACGGTTCATGGGTTTGAGCCCCACGTTGGGCTCTGTGCTGACAGCTCAGAGCCTGGAGCCCGTTTCAGATTCTACGTCTCCTTCTCTCTCTGCCCCTCCCCACTCGCGCTCTGTCTCCCTCTGTCTCAAAAATAAATAAACATTTAAAAAAATTTTTTAATTGAGTATTCTTGGGGACTTAAGATCATGATAGTTCTATTGGATTATGTGAAAAATCCCAAAGCATTTTAGCTGCTATTATAATTTTAGCAGAAACTAAAGTAGATATTTGAATTGAAGTAAACCAAACAGATTTGAGTCCTCATTAATAACATAGATCACAATTCAAAATCCAGGATTTTTAAGAGATTAAAGTAGGTAGAAAAGAAAACTTCTATTAGTTATTAACTAAATAAAAACACGAGGGGCACCTGACTGGCTCAGTTGGTAAAGCATGTGACTCTTGACCTCGAGGTCGTGAGTTCAAGCTCTACATTGGGCATGGAGCCTACTTAAAAAATAAAATAAAAACAGTAATACTGTCCAAAAAATACTAACTTCTTTGTGGATCCTCTTTAACCGTCTGACATTAAACATCTCAATGATTCATTCAAACCTTTAGAGAGATTATTCGACATTTTAGAATATCATACCTGTTTCAACATGTTCCTAACATTTTTGCAAAGGATTGCTATTCTCCAGCACCCTGTTACATATATTTAAAAGAAATCAAATGCTTCCATAAGGAAAAAGGGGGACGTAGCACATGGGTTTACACGTGCTTAACCATGCTTATTCCAATCTAAACTTGATTGATACGGAACTTCAGTAGCAAGCAGTTTATTCATAGAATACTTAAGTGAAATGTTGCGAATTCAGTATCAAATGCTGTATTCATATACTTGCAATTTAAAACTCATTTAACACAAAATTTTTGAACTTATGAGAACACCAAGCTTAATAATAAAGGGCTAACTTTGTAAAATTTTTTTTTTTCAACGTTTTTTATTTATTTTTGGGACAGAGAGAGACAGAGCATGAACGGGGGAGGGGCAGAGAGAGAGGGAGACACAGAATCGGAAACAGGCTCCAGGCTCTGAGCCATCAGCCCAGAGCCCGACACGGGGCTCGAACTCACGGACCGCGAGATCGTGACCTGGCTGAAGTCGGACGCTTAACCGACTGCGCCACCCAGGCGCCCCAAGGGCTAACTTTGTAAGGCAGCATTTCCGGATGCAATTGTCTGAAGGTTTAATTCTCACATTTAATTTCCTTTTTGTTTTTTAAAGTTTATTTACTTATTTTTGAGAGAGAGAAAGCACAAGTCGGGGAGGGGCAGAGAGGGAGGAAGAGAGACAATCCCAAGCAGGCTCTCTGCTGTCAGCACTGAGGTGGATTCAGGGCTCAAACACACAAACCATGTGATCATGACCTGAACCAAAGTCAGAAGCTGAACTCACCGAGCCACTCAGGCGCCCCTAATTTCCTTTCTTTACAACTATGGTCTCTTGCCTGACCTATCACCATAGACTTTTTTAAAATATATTTTTAAAATTTTTATTTATTTTTGAGAGATAGAGCAGAGTCCGGGAGGGGCAGAGAGAGGGAAACACAGAATCTGAAGCAGGCTCCAGGCTCTGAGCTGTCAGCACAGAGCCGGATGCGGGGCCTGACCCCACGAACTGTGAGATCATGACCTGAGCTGAAGTTGGACGCTTAACCGACTGAGCTACCCAGGCGCCCCTAAATATTTTTTAAAATGTTTATATTTGAGAGAGAGCACAGAAGGGGGGGAAGAGAGAGGGACTCAGAGGATCTGAAAAAGGCTCTGTCTCTCTCAAAAATAAACAGACATTAAAAAAATTTAAAAAAAGGAAAAGAAAAGAAAAGAAAAGAAACCTGGTGAGGCCACGAACACATCCTATATTTTAACTGAGCAGCTTGAGAAACGACATTTAGGGTGCAGATTTTAGAAATATCAGTGGTGTGGTTTTAGAGTAGTTGTAGCTTTCTGAGCAACTCCTCTCTCCTCTGCATAGGATCAGAAGTTAGAAAAAGGCAGTCTAGGGACCCACACGTAACAATCTACCGCAAACACACAAGGTTGCTGGTTGTTTTAATGTTTCGGATCTTTGGAATGTCTGAGGACTGTATGTAAATGACATCATACCATAGTATCCTGCGCCCAGCTTCTCCAGTCAGTAGTTTCAAATTCATCTATGTTGATGTGTGTAGCTCTACTTGAGTCACTAACTGCTGTGTAATAGCCTTCTGAATTGTTTTGCACTGACAGTACTGTTTCCAAATTATACTGCAATAAACACTCTTGCGTATCTCTTCTGTGTCAGTTTCCCTGGGGTACTTGATTACTTACTGGGTCCCTGAATATATTCTGTACTTTCTAGGCTTGTTGCCTCTGTGTCAGCTGCCACGACTAATTCCTGGACTTTGCATAAAAACCATCCTGGGGAGGATGGGAAACAGAAATCATTCAGATTCAGAGAACCAAGGGTACTGGTATACTTTCTGCACTAGCTAATTTCAACTTGAATAAAACAACCTGGTGCAGTGATGAGGCACGTTTCGGTAGCCATGAAGATCTAGGTTTGAATTCATGCCCTGGGTAAGGAGTTGTAACTTTGGGCAACCTAAGCTTTAATTTCCTTCTCTACAAACTATCCACCTTGCAGGTGGTTGGCAAATGGTTTGCAAATCACTTAGCTCTGGGCAAGGTAAACAGTAGGTACATAATGATAAGATATAAACTTGGAATGAAGAGACCAAACTATTATAAATTCAACTATATTGCAGTCACAAAGCACTTCCAGTGAAAAAGATAGTTATTAAAGTCAAATGTGAATGAACTTATTACAACTTATAAATACAAGTTTACAGCAAGTACAGAGTAAGTTTACAAATGTGGAGTGTAATTTTTTTGCTTATTTTTTTGTTAATAGCAATAAAGCTTTATCAATAAGACATAATTCACATGTTATGCAATTCACCCAGTCAACACACACACTTCATTGGTTTTGGTATATTCACAGATGTGTACAACCATCACAGTTTTAGAACGCTTTCATCATCTCAAGAAGAAACCCCATTCCCATTAGCTACCACTGCACCCCCTCCCCTCCTCCTAGTTTCAAGCACCCACTAATCTACTTTCTGTCCCTACGCCTAGTCTGGATATTTCCTATGAATGGAATCACACAATACGTAGCATCTAGCCTCTTTCCCTTACCCTGACGTTTTCAGGGTTCACCATGTTGTAGCCCACGTCAGTAGTTTACTTGTGACCAACTAATACTCCATTGCATGGCTATGCCATATTTTGTCTATCCATTCTTCAGTTGATGGCCACACAAGTTGTTTCCCCATTTTGGCGATCATGAATAACGCTGCCACCAATGTTCTGTCCAAGGTCCTGTGTGGCCATACGTGTTCGTTCTCTTGGGCATATAGGCAAGACTGATATTTCTGGGTCAAATGGTAATTCCCGATTTTATTGGGGAACTGTCAAACTGGTTTCCAAAGTGGCTGCAGCGTTCCACCTCTCCACCAGCAGTGCACGAGGGCTCCAACGCCTCCATGTCCTTGACCTTGAATCTACTCGTCCTTGACCACACATGTAGTAATCTGACCCTTTGAATCTACTCACAGCCATCCTAGTGGGCATGAAGTGGCATCTCCTGGCTTTGATTTGCATTTCCTTGATGAGTAATGACAGCGAGCTCTTCCTAGGATTGTTGGCTGTTCTATCTTGGATACACGTCCGAAGTAGAATACTGTCTATTATGTCAGGTACTTGGGGTCGTGCTGATGTTCCCACCAGCCCCTCGTTTGATATGGGATCATACACCCTATTCTGCAAATGGGCAAGTTTAGGCTGGAGGAATGAAGCTGAGGATTTGCATTTGAGTTTTAAATCCATTTAAAGCACACTTCCTTTGTACTTGTGTTCCAACCACAGTCAATCTGGTCACAGCAGTGAGGGCCCAGCAGGCACCATCCAAAGACACTATTCCAAGACATGGGACAGCAGACACTACCACCCCCACACTCCAGAGACAACGGAGCTCCAGGAGGCCACTTGCCACAGTAAGCGGCAGAGCCTGGCGGTGAAACCAGACAGGGCTGCAGGGTGTGGCCCTGGCTCCCCACAAGATGTTCCTGGGAATATCCTAACCACCCACCCATCAACATGCTGCTGGGGTGAGAGACACTCAACACTGTGATAAGGAAACCAGCTGCATGTACTGAAGAGCTGTGGTTTCTACAGAAAATACAGCCTGCTGAAGTTCGTTAGATACAATGTTTGGAGGAATAAGAAGCGACTTCTTGGGGCGCCTGGGTGGCTCAGTCGGTTGGGCATCCGACTTCGGCTCAGGTCATGATCTCACGATCCGTGAGTTCAAGCCCCGCGTCGGGCTCTGTGCTGACAGCTCGGAGCCTGGAGCCCGTTTCAGATTTTGTGTCTCCCTCTCTCTCTGCCCCTCCCCTGTTCATGCTCTCTCTCTGTCTCAAAAATAAAAATGTTAAAAAAAAAATTAAAAAAAAAAAAAGAAACGACTTCTTACTCTTTACATTTAAAAGGAAAATAAGACTTATTATTTTATTGCACTGCTTTTATAGCCAGAAGACTAAAAAATACTTTTTCCCTCAAGTGTCTATTCTTTCTGAACTCAAGCCTTTGGACTCTGTTGTGGGTTGAATTGTGACCCCCATAAATTCCTATGAGTTCTACCCCCAGTACAATGTGCCCTTAGTTGCAGATGGGGTCATCACAGATGTAATTAGTTAAGATGAGGTCATGCTGGGGAAGGGTGGCCCTCATCCAATGACCAGTGTCCCTGTAAGAAGGGGAAATCTGGACACAGACCCGCACACAGGAAGGAGGCCCCGTGAAGATCCGGGTGAAGCGTCAAGCCAAAGATTGCCAGAAACTACAGAATCTGGGGGAGGGGCAGGGAACAGATTCTCCATCACAGCCCCAAAGACCCCAGCCCGAGCACGCCTGGATCTGGAGTCCTAGCCGGCAGGATGTGCGAGCCCACTCGCTTCCGTTGTCACCCCGTCTGCGTGGGTGACGGCAGGCCTCAGAGACGCCCACGGCCAGGCGTATAAAACATGGCGGCCCCATAGGACATGCGCCTGAATTCCGCTCCCAATGGTAAAGATTACGATTAATTTCTGACTACCAAGATCAGTGATCTGTATGTCAAGTTTCTCAAGAAAGAAGCAATCGTGGCTTTCCATCACTGCGTATTTTATTTATCTCAGCTAGGTATTTACAGATATTTGCTAATATAAAAATACAATGGCCCGGCGGCCGGAAAGTTGAGGCCATGCAACCCTTACTTCTTCGTGTCCAAATGCTCTAAGGCTTTAAATAGTTCAAGGTATTTCCACATGAAAAGGACTCCACAACATTTATATGCACAGAGAATGGGCTGAGAGCTCAGTATCTGTATTTTGTGGAGTAGTCCTTTGGAGACACCACCAGGCCCCGACCCTTCCGGGCGCCTCGGTACACGGTCTCGATTATGTCTATCATTTCCTGCTTGTCTTCCATGGCCCAGTTGATCTTGTTGTTGTTCCCAGTACCCAGGTCAATCATGATGTGCTTGTTCCTGCAAAGAGGAAACAGGGGGGTCAGTGCTCACAAAAATCCTTCTAAAAAAGAGTTCCATGAAGAGGCCTTCCGTTTTGCACCTTTACAAACTCTCGTTAAACATCATTTAAGAGAAGAACACACAGTCAAGAGGATCCACCATGATTCAGGAGAAGATGAAAACAACCTAAATGCTATTTAAAAACACACAGCTTGCGTGGGGAGCAAGCTCTTTCTGTACTCTTCTCTGTCTCCTCAGGACAAATACCCTACAGGGTAGTCGAAAGCTCAAAGGACACAGTGTTTGTCACTTGGACCCAGAGGGTTGTACTAATTTACTCAGGAAACACAACGGATGAGTTTTCATGGTGCTCTTGTGAGCACCTAGTGTACATTTCATTAAAAATCCTACTAACTGTGAAATTAATAATGTTTTGGATTTTTATGATTAGAGACATAGACAATTCTTTACAAATGTATTTCTTAAGAGGCTACTTTTAACAATGATTTATATGTGCACTTTATAGAAGATAGTAACCCTGGTTGTCCCTGATGCACTAATTTTTCCAGGTTTGCTGAAGACTGATTAGTTTTAATTACTTTAACTTCTCACTTCCCTAAGAATGAAGTGCTCCATCCACCCTGCAGTCTTTGGTCTGGCCACCTTTTAACCAGAGTGAGCCTCCAAAAGGCAAATCCGATGTTCCTTTTCTGCCACAAAATTTCACTTCTAGGATAACATTCCACATCCTCACTCTGGCCCAGGAATCTGGGGGTCTGGACCCTGCCCCTCCCCCTCCCTGGCGGGGGGGGGTGGGGATCTGGGTGTCTGGACCCTTCCCTCCCGCCCCCTCCCCCACCAGTCTCCCACCATCACCCACCAGCCACTCCGTGTCCTCTCGGGCTCCCAAACGTAGCATGAAGCTCGTGCCGTGTGCCCGTCCCCCAGAAGGCTGGAGCTCATCCCAAACCTACCCCAGCTGCCACTTAGCTCCCGCCACCCTGACTCAGTATTTGTGTGCCTATAAATACCCGCCCTCTGGCACCTGTTTCCCTCTGCTAATTTACTCAGCTGTTCCCAACCTACGAAGTTCCCTGATGGCAGGATCCGCGTCCCAGCACTAGACCACAAAACCTGGCAGGACTCAGTATATATACATTTAGTGAAAACATTAACTGAAGTGCCACCACGCCTCGTCTTAGAACTCTGGGTGGCAGAAAGAGACGTTCTGTCTTCTCTGGTGCAGCCTCCGTCCTAAAACACCCATGTGCACAGACGGCGGGGGGCTTCTTTTTTTCAGCCTCACTCCCACCTGAAGGGCTAGGGGAGAATTTCGAAGAGCACGACAGAAAAGGCCTAGACTGCCTCCAAGAGCCTGTGAGAAGAAACACGGACTTGGAGAGCACAGCTGGTGCCGGCTCCAGAGGAAGGGAGGACCTCGCGTTGCCGGGGGTGGAGGAAAGGGACCCTGTTACTTGGCAGGACATCGCGATGGGATCCTGCGGTTCTGTGGGAAGGACTTGCAACGACTGATGCCCTTGGATATTCAACTGAAGGAAAGCCAAGCAAAGTCTTGAAAGTGCTGTCTGGTTTCTCCCTGGTGCTCACAGCAAAACGAGAGAGCCAACCTAGTGTGAGAATTGAGAACAAAGACTCAACTCTCAGCCTCTCCAGATGGCAGAAGGTGCTGAAATCCAGACACGGCCGCAGAACGGGGGGTACAGGGAAAAGGAAGCCACACGACCTACTGCTGAAGCCCAGGAAAGCCCTAAAGGCCAAAGCGTTCAGTCACAAGAGAGGGAGGCGTGCCTCACGGATCTTCCCCGATGCCCAGGCCGGGGACTCGGCTGCAAGGGACAGAGGGTACAGCCAAAGGAGATGACAGAACCCAATGTGCTGCTGGCTGAAGGAGGCTGGAAAATGGCCCAGCTGCGAATGCCTTTCACGAAAAAGGGAGGAAAATCCAGGCAAGCACCCTCCCAGCGCTGGGGCGTCGGCCCCCTTCCTCCTCACGTCCCCTTGGGAAACCAGACCTGTTTCCTATGCTGTCGCACACTGTGTGCTGGGAGAGCTGGGGCCACAGACAAGTGGTGTCCGGGAGCCTAAGAAGCCTTGTCCATCCCTGATTTTGCATATGAGAAGGATGTGAGTTTTCGGAGCCAGAGGGCAGACTGGTAGGCAAAATCCTACATTAAACCCTGTGAATTTCCTGCCCGATCCCCTGGGACTGTGATATGATGGGGCATAAAGACTCTGACAGATGTCCCAAAAGTTTCTGATCGATTGACTTTAAAATAAGGAGATAATCCTGGATTATCTGGATGAGTCTATTCCAATCACAGCCCTTAAAAGCAGAACAGGAAATCTCAGGGACTGTGCAGACTTCAAAGGCGGAAGGGCCTCCAGGAGCAGGGAGGGGTCCAAGCGTACAGCCAGCAAGGAGTCAGAGACCTCGGACCCGTGAGCACCAGGAACTGCATTCAGCCAACAACCCAAGTGAGCCAAGTGGCTTCTTCCCAGGCTGACGGTCCAGGTAAGGGCTCAGCCCCTGATTCTGACTTGGTGAGACCCTGAGCGGGAACCCACTGAGCCTGCCCGAACCTTGACACAGCACTGAGCTCATAAGTGGTGCTGTGTTATCTACTCAACTTGTGCTCATTTGTTACACAGACTATAAAGCTAATCCACACCCTATACAATCCACGCAAACATTCCTTGCCAGCCAGGGAGCTCTACTTTCGGAGCATGCTCTGAGGCTTAACACTGCTATTTACCAACTTCTGTATTAACAATAAACAGTAAGAAATTTTGACCAAACATCAAATGGTGATTCCTTTCTAAATTAAATCTCCACGACAGAACTTTTTTAAAATTCACGACGTTACTTGACTCTACTACCTAAATACCATCAAATAGAAAGATCTCCTGATTACGTCAAACTTCCAGACCAACAATATTCAACTGAAATGACAAATTTAAGAGAACATACCTGAAGAAAAACATGACGGTGCATGGATCGTATAACTCATACATTTTGTTGAAGTCAGGCACTTCTGTAATATCCACAAGATAGATAACTGCAAAATTTTTCACCTAGGAGAGATTGAAACAACCCTGTACAGTAACACACCATTTTTTTATTCTGCAAAAGCACGTTAAAAACAAACACGAGAATTTGTATATAAGCGGACAATTTTCAAACCAAGTCCCCAACATTCTTTCCCGGCAGAGCTAGTACACAGGGAGATGATTCGGCACGTCCGGGCTCCTGACAACTGGCTGCTTACACCTCGCTTTACCATTTTCACAACAGCAAGTGATGAGAGTCCCACAGAAAACGTCCACAGGTACGTTATTCATGCTGACCTAGTAATAACCT